TTTTAAAAAAAAAAGGGGGGGGGGGAGTTGATATTTCAGGCCTCTGGTGGAGTTAGGCCTGCTGTCTTTTCAGCCCCAGCTCTACAGAGCTGGTCTGCCGTGGGTAAAGGAAAACCAAGCAGGCACCTTTACCTACCAGGGACACAAGACCCCAGCCTGGCCCAGGAGTGACTTTGTGGGGTAAGCACATGCTCCCCTGCAGAGGACTGGAGAGGAGGGGAAAGGCTTCCGGCCCCAGCTCTGCCTGGGTCTGCGTTGAGGCAGCATCAACACTAACCATGAAATTTCCCCTTGGTGCCTGAGGCTGTCGCACCAGCAGGGGATGTGGTGAGTGTGTGGGCACACCTGTGTGGTGTGTCAAGGAAGCCTGATCCTGGCCCCTGGTGCTGAGTTGAAACAGCCTGGTGGTCAGTCCTGACCCAGCCCTCCACACACCTCTCACCCAGCTGGCACAGAAGCAGCCAAGTTCAGAACATGAATGGGATCAGGATGGGCAAGGTGGGAGCCTTGTCTCCACTGACAACACCCCACAGCCTTGGCAAAGGGAGCATTGTCAGGACAGGTGTACCCAAGGATCCTATTTCATGCTCCCTGTACCTTGGGGGATCCCAGTGTCTTCCTTGGTGTGGCCACAGCAGGAACAGGGCAAATGCAGCAGGTGTGAGGTTGGGAGTGTAGCAGGATCCCAGAAGGGCAGGCAGTTCCCTGGAGTATCCTGAGCCATGTCTGGGCCCCCTTGCAGTTGTGGGCGGTTTGGTTCCAGCTCAGGCCCCTGCCCTTTATTTAGGGTTTTTTCTAGTTACCGTTACATGGACCATAGAGGGGACTCAGATGTCCTGGACCTGTGAGGTTCCCTCACATAGCCCCACACCCAGCCCTTAACTTCCTTTCCAGCCTGAGCAGGGCTGGGGCCTGACATGGTTGGGTGCTTTCTTACAAACTGTGAGCACTAGGGTGCAGCCCAGAGTTCCAAGGCCTTTGTAGAAAGGAGTCTGTCTTCAGGCTAGCACATGTGCAGGGCTATGTTTTGTATCTGGCGAGCCTGGTGCCTTCCTCCCTCTCAGAAGTGGCTGCTCTTCTCTCTGCATCAGGTCAAGGGCAAGGAAAGACGAGAAAACGTTCCCCTTCACCACTACTGCAGGACCCAAGAGGTTGAGCCCCACAGAGTGGCCTACGGCAAGTGTTGGAGAGGGGGGCAGAGTTCAGCTCCCCCAAATAAGCACAGTGCCAAGGCTCAGGAGCCACAGTGATGTGGCTGCCCCCAGAGGCCCCTAGGTTGCCTGATGGGGCAGGACTGCCTGGGTCCAATTCTGGACTGCATCATTTGAGAGATTTCGAAGGCTTGACATGTAGCCCCCAAAGAATAGAGGTATTGGGTGGGAAAGAGAAGGTAGGGAGAGATCCTCACTTCTGAGGGATTGTCCCATATGGGAACAGCTGTCCCATGGCATAAATGTCCCAGGCACCTGGGCCAGAGCTGGTGAGCAGGGAGGTCCCAAGGAAGCAAATCTGAGCTCATTATAAGAAAACTATGTATGGACCAATTTTCTTGATTTAGAAAGTACCAAAACAGCACTATAGAAAATTTAGAAAACAAACAAAAAAATCACCCGCTGTATTTCTTCAGCAGGCAGTGACTGTTAGCATGTTGGAGTTCCCTGCTGGTCTTTTCCTGATTTTTTCCATCATGGCTGCTATCATTTGAGTGTTTGTGCCATTCCTTCTTTCATTTAATACTGTGTCTGTGGGCATTTTTTCATGGTGCTACACGGTCTAAGTAACTTTGCCTCTTGAACGCTACAGAATATTCCAAGCAGCTCTGCCACGGCTACTTTGCACATAACCTCTTACTGAGCATGTGCGTCGTTTCCCATCTGTCCACGGTCTAAGTAACTTTGCCTCTTGAACGCTACAGAATATTCCAAGCAGCTCTGCCACGGCAGCTTTGCACATAACCTCTTACTGAGCATGTGCGTCGTTTCCCATCTGTCGCTGTTGTGGTTGTTATTACTACAGGCCCCCAAAGCTGCCGGGAATATTGGAGAGAGCAGGCAACTTGGCACCCAACTGACATGGGTTCCAGGCGCTGCCATGGCACTTAGGCCAGGGTGGAGGGACCTTGGGCAAGTCACTGATCCTCTCAGCCAGAGTTCCTTTATATAAATAACAGGGATGGTGAGACCTGCTTCAGAGGCAAGTGAGGACAGTGTGAACTAACTAACTAGAAAGTGCCTGGCATGACCCCTCTCCTCTACTTACCATTTGTAAGTAGGGGTTGGCGTTGTGGAAAGAATGCCACTGCAGGCTGCTCCAACGTGTGGGGAAGATGCTTGAGCCGCGAGCCGTGGTTGGCTGACCATTCAGCCAGCAGAGAGGTGGCCCCTGCCCAGGGAGCCCCTAGGACACCCTCTGGCCCTGAGGTTCTGGACTCCTATGGCCAGTGCCCTGACCCACATCCCTGCCTTCCCCTCTCTCCTTCACCATGTGATTGGCTGGCCCAGGCATGGGGCTGGCCCTAAGAAGATGGGCTGCTGGTTGGTGTCAGGGCCTGACCCCACCCATTCCCCTTCCGGTCTCCCAGCATTAGAGCTGAGTGGACGAGGCCTCTTTTCTGAGAGCCCAGCTGCCTCCCACTTCCCAGCTTGGGCTGGGCCAGCCCAGCGCAGCATTTCCCCAGTGGAAATAAAGGCCTCCTTAGCCTGAGCCTTGGGCAAGGAACCCAGGCATCCTAAGATCCAAGCCGGGTACAGCCATGCCAGCCTCATCTTCCCATCCTTTCCCAGCAGCCAGGGAAGGGAAGAAGTCTAGGGGGTGGGGGTCTGGATTCTAGAGCCTCCCAGCTGGGAGTTATAAGGGAACATAGACGGTCCACAGAGTCCCTTGGGAACTCATGTGTGTTAGTGTCCTCCTCCTTGGCAGGTGTTCCCCACGTCTAGCCTGAGTGTGTACCACAGTGACACACCTTGCTCTCGTTCTGCTTCTATGGAGAGCAGAGTCACTGGGAGTATCCTCCTGAGGCCACCCCGTGGGCAGTAGGAGGAAACCAGTCTCAGCTTGGCACTCCCTGGGCCTAAGGGACC